TCTGGTATCCTATGGTGTATGTTGAAAAGGAACACTTTTTATGGATAGACAACTTCTTTATTTCAATAGATGCAATGTTCCCCTGATAACAGTGTTAGGATCTACACCGAAACATTGCATCTATTGCAATAAAGAGGTTGTCTATACATAAAAAGTGTTCCTCTTCAACATACAACGTAGGATTTTTGAAAAGTTTGAAATCACTTCCATGGTAGGAGTGTCGGGGAGCGAGTTAAATTTTAACATTGCATCAGCATTTTTTCAGCCATGTAGCAACTAACTAGCGAGTTATCCTGGTATTACGTCTGTAGTTTGAAACAGTACTGTATGTTGCCATCTTTGTATGATTGTAATAGGAAAGATCTACCTACCTGTCTGAATCAGGATTGGATGTAGATAGTCCAGCGATTGCCACAGTGACTAACAGAAACCAGAAGGCTGATGGAAGTCAAATGAGAACCATCTTGCAATGTTCTGAAGTCTTCTGACAAACCATAACAGAATGTTGTGCGTTAAGCCATACCAGAATGTTGTGTTGTTGTGCGTTAAGCCACATCAGAATGCTGTGCTGTTGTGCGTTAAGCCACACCAGAATGTTGTGTTGTTGTGCATGAAGCCACATCAGAATGCTGTGCTGTTGTGCGTTAAGCCACACCAGAATGCTGTGCTGTTGTGCGTTAAGCCACACCAGAATGCTGTGCTATTGTGCGTTAAGCCACACCAGAATGTTGTGCGTTAAGCCACACCAGAATGCTGTGCTGTTGTGCGTTAAGCCACATCAGAATGCTGTGCTGTTGTGCGTTAAGCCACATCAGAATGCTGTGCTGTTGTGCGTTAAGCCACACCAGAATGCTGTGCTATTGTGCGTTAAGCCACACCAGAATGCTGTGCTGTTGTGCGTTAAGCCACATCAGAATGCTGTGCTGTTGTGCGTTAAGCCACACCAGAATGCTGTGCTATTGTGCGTTAAGCCATACCAGAATGTTGTGATGCCCTGGAAACCTTCCCAGGGTGTTATGATGTCCTACAATAAACCTCTCCAGGATGATGTGATATGGTGAATATGGTGAATCCCAGAATATGGTGATTCCTACACATGTTGTGAAGTCTTGTGAGAAACCATCCATGACTTGGAAACCTTCTATGGATGTTATGTTGTCCAGAATGTTGTGATGTCCTTGGATATACCTTGCCAGAATGTGTTGATGTCCTTGGAGATACCTTGCCAGAATGTGTTGATGTCCTTGGATATACCTTGCCAGAATATGTTGATGTCCTGTGATACACAATCCCAGCTTGCTGGGATGACTTGTGATAAACCTTCCTACAATGTGTGGATGTCTTGAGACATACTTTCCCATAATGTATGGATGTCCAGTGATATGCCTTCCCAGAATGTTGTGATGTCCTGTGATAAACCTCCATGGAATATGGCAATACCCTGTGAAACGCTTTCCCATAATGTTGTGATGTCATGTGATTAACTGTGCCAGAATGTGCTGATGTGTTGGGATAAATCTTCCCAGAGTGCTGTGATGTCCTGCGATACGCCTTCCTAGATTGTGAAATGTCCTGTGATGAACCTTCATGGAAGGTGGTGATGTGATAAACCTTCCCAGATTGTCGTGATGTGTTGGGACAAACCTTCGAGGAATAGACCGTCCTGAAATGTTGTGAGGTCCTGTGATAAAGCTTCATAGAATGTGGTACTGTGATACACCTTCCCAGAATGTGGAGATATCTTGTGATGAACCTTCCCAGAATGTTGTGATGTCCTGTGATACACACCAGTGAAGATCAAGGTTAGAATTGATCTTCAGTAACCCATGCTTGTCGTATGAGGCAACTAGTGGGATCGGGTGGTCATGCTTGCTGACTTGGTTGACACATGTCATCGTATCCCAAATTGCATAGATTGATGTGCATGCTGTTGACCACTGGATTGTCTGGTCCACACTCAAGTATTTACAGACCGCCACCATACAGCTGGAATATTGCTGAGTGCAGCATTAAACTAAACTCACTCACTTGTGATGTCCAGTGATAAACCTTCCCAGAATGTTGTGATGTCCAGTGATAAACCTTCCCAGAATGTTGTGATGTCCAGTGATACACCTTCCCAGAATGTTGTGATGTCCAGTGATACACCTTCCCAGAATGTTGTAATGTCCTGTGATAAACCTTCCTATAATGTTGTGATGTCCAGTGATACACCTTCCCAGAATGTTGTAATGTCCTGTGATAAACCTTCCCAGAATGTTGTGATGTCCAGTGATACACCTTCCCAGAATGTTGTGATGTCCAGTGATACACCTTCCCAGAATGTTGTGATGTCCTGTGATATACCTTCCCAGAATGCTGTCATGTGTTACAGCTGTTAGTATGCTTTTCAATGCATATCCCAGGTTCGCTGTCACTGGCTCTTCACAGTGGCTCCCGGGACGCGGTCCATTGGAGCCAACCTCTGCTCTTTCAATGTCACTCACTCACCACAACTCTTGAATTCGTGTGTGAATGAAATTGCGAGTCTGAAAGAAAATGTCCACTTCGAGCGTTGGAAAACTACAATTGAGAAACCGCATCGATAAAAATTAAAGTTTGGCCCTGGCCTGAAGATTGTGTCACGTTTATCAGTTAAGGACATGTTTATGGCTGACAACGCCTGGTATCGACACTCGTGCCGCTGTCTCAAGCCGAGAGATAAAAGTGTCCCCAAGTTGATAAATGGTCACATATATGAAGCAAAAGCTTAACTCAAAGTTGAATGAAGGGATTGTTGGACAGATTTACGCAGACCTGCGTAGACCAGTCGGGGTTTACATCTGTGTGTAGCCATGCGAAAAAAAAAACACGTCTGACGTTTTGCAGCACTGTTGTAAGTCGCATTGGTGGATACATATTAAATCTGGTTTGAATCCCGAAAATACTACTATTTTTAAGACAATGAAGGCGTACAAACGTAACGGTCAAAAATAAAACGAAAACACGACATATGTCCGATATGTGAGTGAGTGAGTGAGTTTAGTTTTACGCCGTTTTTAGCAATATTCCAGCAATATCACGGCGGGGAACACCAGAAATGGGCTTCACACATTGTACCCATGTAAGGAATCGAACCCGGTTCTTTCCGGTGACGAGCGAACGCTTTAACCACTAGGCTATCCCACCGCCCCTGTCCGATATGTACTTAGTGGTGAGTCAGGTATACAGACATTGGTTATGTCACTTTGAATATTGACTCGCGGGTTTGCCTTAGACAGACTTAGTTTCAAATCCGTAGAATATTTTAAAGTCTGATGTTCACGTACATACGTCTTTGGTAACCCTTCGACCTGGATTGAACATATCTGATCTAACCTACCTACTGTGCAGTTTAGCATAGCATATTCTTGTACATAGTAAACAAGTCTAGGATTTCAAAGATATAAAGATCTGTTTAGAACATATATATGTGCATATAAATTGATGTACGAATGAAAAATTGAGGTCAGCTGTCACCCGATGTGTTTGATTTCCAAAAAGCTGTAATTCCTCACAATGATTGTCCATTTGTATCAAACGTCCAGCACATTTAGCATGGGAATACGTATCCAAAGGCGGATCCAGGAATTTTCAAAGGGGGTGGGTCGAACTCCCTCCTTGGCTACTCCAATGCAAAATGGTCTTTAGTCATCTTTCTCCCCCCCCCCCCCCAATGCAACCGCTAATGCGTACCTGTGTTCGTAACGTTTGATTACAGATGTTAGTTCTTCTATTCTACCTATTGAGTATATAGGAGTACTTTGTTTTACAGTGTGATATTAGCTAGAATATTGTTCTAATGATTAATGCCACCTAATAACCATCGCTCAGGATTAATGTTGTTTTAATGCATGTCCACTGATCCATTAGACACGAGCCTTTATCATGTTTATGAGCTTGCGTGTGTATGACAGTCGTTGAATTCTGCCGTAGTCATCACTATTCAAGCAACCGATCTCTCCTTTCGATGTCAGTACCTGTCTGACTACCAATAAACCGTATGCCACGGCAACCTGTAAATAATCGAGTCTGGATCAGGGAACCTGTGGTTGGTAGTGCGAGCATATTTCCGGGCAGGTGCCCAACCACCCAGATAGCATACTCGGACGTTGGCCCAACGTTGGCAATGTTGGCAAATGCGGGCAGTCAGGTCGCACATATTATTGTACATATCTGATCTTCATTGATCGCCTCCCCAAAACAAGGAATACTGTATGTGGTCCTGACACATCATATCCGGAACTCCCAGTGGAAAGACAACAGTTGAACCGTGCCTCCCAAGAATTGACCTTATTTTTCACCCGGGCACAAGAACTTTTTGTTTTGTTTTGTTGAATGGTTCTCCAATTATATCTGACACTCTCATTTAAAAAAAATTCGTCCTTTATTCCCATAACATCTTTCGCCGAACAGACAAAGAATGATCGCCGGCTGATCAAGGGATGGATGGGTAGCGTTTATGCAAGGACCCGGTAACACGGCCTCTGGTTTTCTGACCGGTATGTTATTGACAGCAGAAACAATACACTGATAGACGAGACAATTATATGTTGATATTTGCCAGTGTTAATTGGTGACCTTACAAAACAATTAACACTTTCAATTAAAACAGAACAATGTACGGCTTGACATGAAACATGATGTGACGTTCTGATAAATGTATTCACGTTATACATCACGTGTCATTGCATAAACTTACTGCAGCTTTGTTTGTTTATAAAAGTTCGAACAAATTGTTTCCTGATGTATTATACGAAGGACGGGATTCCAAAATGATAGTATGTAACGGTGATTATATTTGTTGTTATTTAAATTCACGTAAATGTTTCCTCCATAAAATATAGCTGTAACTTCATACATAAGAGCCCTGGCAAGGCTACCACGTAACGTTTTAATCACGGGTCAGCCATGATATCGCAATTGTTATCTCAACTATGATTGGCTAGAAATGTTAGCTCTACCCAATGACTAACAAGGTAACGTTTATGACAAGGTCGTCGTATGGTTTAGCGGCAGGGAGGGGCAGCATCTTCAGTATTTTCACCATCATGGGGGGAAATGGGTTGATCAAGCAAAAGAATGGCAAGGTTAACGGACTAAACGGGAGACTAAATGGGAAACATGCGAAGGTGAGCAAAATGCATTTGTAGCAGATTGCAGACAATACAAATTACGTTTGGTTTTTAGGCTATCAGGTGAATGCATGTGGATTTGTTTTATATCCTTATTTTTTCCCTAAAGTAATGATTGAATGTTATGTTTTTAATTTCGTAGCCGTTTGTATAAAATGTACGGTAGATTCTCTGTGACCATATTCCTCTCGTCATTCATTGCAAATTTTAGAATGGCCACAACAAACACAGAATTAGAATGATAGTGTTAGCGTCTCCAATAAACAACAGGTAGCCCAAATTTCGATTCAGTTCTCGATCAGACCTTTCGTCTGGTGAAAAATGTCTGTTATATATTTTGATTTGTAAATAATCGAACCTAGAGATACTGATTGTTTTAATAGATATTAATTGTTTTAATTTGGATCCATATTTAACTTAATGAGTCATACTTGTATGTTCTGTGGTGACCTACAGCCCACCAACCAGGTGTCACCCATTTGTTTTGTGTCATTTTGAAAAGATTTTAGTCAATGTTTACCGTAATGGTAACGATATTTTTTATGAAATTGTATCTGACTGTTTTAATATTAATTTCTGTTGTGCTGTGCTCAGAGAATGTTTCCGCTAAATGTAGTTATTGCCTTCACATTGAAGCCACATGGGTTCAAATTACTTTTTTGTAATTTAATGTTCACATCCATGTTCTTGTTAAGTTACATAAAAACCCATAACAGCAATCAATAAAGATCCCCTCATAATGAAATACACATGCTTTTGTCTACAATTTAAAAGAATTGTCACACCTGTTTGCTTTCTGACATTGGGTGCCATATAGCTGAAATATTGCTGAGTCCAGCATTACACAACAACCAAACAATCTTGACATTGGTACATTGTATTGAAGCGGCATAGGGTATCATTAGCTTATTCTAAAACGTACTGGTCATTCTGCACGTAACTGTCAAATTGAATGTCCATCATACTTCCAGTGGAGTACTAGGTTAGATTATGACATTAGGAAGCGATTGTACATCATTAAACTATTTCTCAAGTATATAGAGAATACGTTTATTACCTTACCGTCAGAATAAAATATGTGCGTAAGCCCTATAGTTGTTAGAGTTGTTAAACAGCGTATGGATGACAGGTTGTTTTATGGGCGCTGCCATCTTTGTTTACGAATCTCTTGCATGGTCACGTCACTGCAGCGGGTGCAATTCGATTGTAACGTCATTGTAATTAAGGATAAAAGGGAAATCTGCTTTTTTTGGAAGCTTTAAGCAGCTAAGCATCTCTCCACCAGATCAAAGCAAAGTTAGGAGGTGAAGATGGCAGAACATTCACCAGGACTTAGTATATTTTATAGAAGTAATTTGTAAATGTTAACCAGGACTTATAAGAATTATTAATAATGAATTTGGTGAATTTCTAATTTGGGTTATCAGTTAGTTGTTACTGTACTGTAGGACGTCACGATCAGCATGTACCGATGTAGAGTAATGTTCTAAGTGTCTGTTTAAGTGTATATTTGTTGATGTGTTACTGTATTAATAAATTATTATTGTTGTTGAAATGAATCTTGTACGTTTTTCCACAAAGTTTCATGTTGCTGTTTCAAAAGTTTCGGAGATATGGAAAGGGGAAGTTTCGCGGGTTCAGAAACCAATGCCAAGTCTAGCCATTAGTAAACGTCAGCTAGTTAATTATATATGCATGGAATGCCGGGTCAGAGAGGTAAAAGGGCGGTCTTCCCAGGAACTGACCAATCAGGAACAAGTACATTGTATAGTAAAGATGGCTGACGTTTTCTATGATCTAGACGCGAAGCGCAGAAGTCTTATACAAGCGAATTAAACTGAACACAATAGTTTACATACCACAAGTTTAATTATCTTAATCAGCAATATATTTTCTTGGAGTAACACGCCAACTCGGTAGTGTAATGCAAATTAGGGGGCAGAATTTAGACATGTTTGTAAACAAATTTGTGTTACCAGATTATCAGTTAGGATATCAAATTCTACACTTATACGTTCGCATGCACGAGGGTACATATTTTAGTGACTCTGACTCTGAGCATCAAATAGTATACCTTCCCCTGTTTGGCATTACAGTATGAAACCCATTCCTGGTGCCCCCTGCCATGATACTGCTGTAATATTGCTTGACTCACTTAATCTCAATTTCCTGACATGAACTGTAGTCCATATCATGAAAACATGATTATTGTTTCACATTTTCTATGTTTTAACCTCTCAACAAAATAGAACTGCAGCAGTGTTTCATTTTTCCCAAACGAGAGTGAGGGTAAACATGGTAATGCATAAAATAATATGGTTAAATAATAATAAATAGGCCGTCTCAAAGACAGACAAACACTGTAGAGTCAAGATGTGTTGAATTTACACCAAGTCTTGTGTTAAAGTAAAAGCTTAGTCCCTGTGTAATCCTTGTATTAAGTTGTAAAGTCAGTGTTCGATTTAAGAGAGGTTAACCTACTTGCACTAGGTGCAACCTAAGATAAAAACCTAGTTGCACCAACCAAATTCCAGTTGGAACGTAGTGTGTTAAAACGTCAGAGGTTTCGGTGCACATAAACCTATTTCCGTGATGTAGTACCATGAAACCATATCAACACAGAGGCACAGCTGATCCCTGTTTACAAGAGCTGTCATAGCCGAAGCATGTATATGAATAGCAATATTTCAGTGCCATAGCTATTCAAAGTTTAGAATAAAAATTAGCTGACATATTTATGCTTATAATGTTATATTTATTGTTGATTTATTTCTAAAAAATTGACATGCACCTTGTGCAAGTTAAGACTCATACCTAGGTTGCACTTTGTGATATTGGGTTGCACCAATGCAAGAAACACAGCACTAAATCAAACCCTGAAAGTCATCATTTTGCAGTTGTGTTGCACATCAGATGATGCAAATTATTTTTGTAGGGATTTTCACTTTTGACATGACAGTGTTTAACTGCAGCTAATGTTATTAGGTTATTCACAAAATTCTACTGTAGAAATATCACTGAACTTTCACGTGCCTAAGATAGCAAATGGCTTGAAAATATGTCCAGAAATATCATGATAACCATGATCACATACAGTGCAAACGTCACAGTATTCATGTGGTACAGTGGTGGTGGTGTAGCCCAGTGGTTAAAGCGTTGGCTCGTCATGCAGAAGACCCGGGTTCGATTCCCCACATGGGCACAATGTGTGAAGCCCATTTCTGGTGTACCCCGCAGTGATATTGCTGGAATATTGCTTAAAGCGGCGTAAAACCATACTCACTCACTCATGTGGTACATACTGGTATTATCCAAAAGTGACTGCCACAAGAGATATCAGATATGACATGCTATAGGAGTTTAATGAAATAACAACCAACAGATTTGCATCTTTAACCTTGACAATCAAATGGCATCACTTCCCTCTGCCACTGAAGCTTGTTAACTGTACTGTTACGCTCTGGTCACAGATTAGATTGCAGAATAATTTCAGATGAATACGCTATGCCATTTTACATATGCTGTATTTGGCATTCCACTTACCCAGTAAAGGACAGTTTCTAGTACTTTTGTTGGGTTGAGTCTCATCAATGATTCAAACCCACACCCTCAGAGTCAGTCCCCTAATTGTCAGCACACAAAGTCGTCCGTCTCATCCGCTCAGCCACTGCAGCTTTCACAAAAAATGGAAGTCAGGCAACTGGTAGTCTAGACCACGGACTTCAGGTACCCTTCTGATCAGTGTGAATTGGCACGGCAGCTTTGAATATGCAATGCCATTTAGGAAGTGGTCAAATATAACATTATGCTAGATTTCAGATGAGAAGTGGAATCTCACTCTTGTATATTTAAAGTTGAAATATATATGTTGCTGAAAATAAAAATGCCCTTTGCAAGCTGCAGAGTTTTAAGTGTCAAATTTTTAATAGTTTTGATCTCAGAAGACATAACATATTCTAACTATAGTAAAAAATCCTACAAAGACGAATATGATACAATGGGTAAGACTGCTTCAACCAAGGTGAGAATATCTGTTGATTCTATGGAATAACATATTCAGCATCTACAGAAAATTAGCATGAAAACCTGTACGTTGAGGTACGGTAAGTGTTAATTGGTCAATAAGTGTCTCATGTTTTTATAAAGGGTTTACATTATTACATGATTAAATCTAATATTGTCCTCCTGTCATTCAGGGGTCGGTTGGGTAGCCCAGTCGTTACTTCATTTGCTTGTCATGCCAAAGGCCCAGGTTCTATTCAATGTTTGAAGCCCATTTCTGGTGTCCCCTGCTGTTGTATTACTGGGATATTGTGGCGTAAAACCCAACGAACTAACACAGTCACTCCAGTCATTCAAATCAGCATAATTATCTTTACTGAATCAATATGATGACATTAAAGCCATTTCTTGTCAATAATTCTATGTAAATGAAACATCAGTTAACCATCATTTGAAATTTATTTTTCAGGGAGACAGCTGGAAAGATGATTTTTACGAGTCTTTTGAAGAGACACCTCTTGTGGTGGCCATTATCACCTATCTGGCTTTTGGCATCCTTGTGGTGATTGGTCACATCAAGGAATATTACCGAGTGTACATAAAATGGGAGAAGAGAGCGGCCAATGAACCAGGACATGAGGTACAACACAGTGAACCTTTACAACACACCTTCTATTTCAGTTGACAGTTTGGTCCCTTGTAACTGCACCATAATCATAAGCTGGCCACCCCCATTATACTTCAGGACAAATTGGTCAATGTATAACTGCACCATACACAGAATCAGGCCACCGCTATTATTCATCAGGACAATTTGGTTCCTCGTAACTGCACCATACACAGAATCAGGCCACCCCTATTATACATCAGGACAAATTGGTCCCTCGTAACTGCACCATACAAAGAATCTGGCCACCCCTATTATACATCAGGACAAATTGGTCCCTTGTAACTGCACCATACAAAGAATCTGGCCACCCCTATTATACATCAGGACAAATTGGTCCCTCGTAACCACCATACAAAGAATCTGGCCACCCCTATTATACATCAGGACAAATTGGTCCCTTGTAACCACCATACGAAGAATCAGGCCACCCCTATTATACATCAGGACAAATTGGTCCCTCATAACTGCACCATACAAAGAATCTGGCCACCCCTATTATACATCAGGACAAATTGGTCCCTCGTAACTGCACCATACAAAGAATCTGGCCACCCCTATTATACATCAGGACAAATTGGTCCCTTGTAACTGCACCATACAAAGAATCTGGCCACCCCTATTATACATCAGGACAAATTGGTCCCTCGTTACTGCTCCATACTCAGAAAGTGGCTTCTCATATCATACATCAGGACAAATTGGTCCCTCGTAACTGCACCATACAAAGAATCTGGCCACCCCTATTATACATCAGGACAACTTGGTCCCTTGTAACTGCTCCACACTCAGAAGGCGGCCACCCCTATTATACATCAGGATAACTTGGTCCCTCGTAACCACCATACAAAGAATCTGGCCACCCCTATTATACATCAGGACAAATTGGTCCCTCATAACTGCACCACACTCAGAAAGTGGCCACCCCTATTATACATCAGGACAAATTGGTCCCTCGTAACTGCACCACACTCAGAAAGTGGCCACCCCTATTATACATCAGGACAAATTGGTCCCTCGTAACTGCACCACACTCAGAAAGTGGCCACCCCTATTATACATCAGGACAAATTGGTCCCTCGTAACTGCACCACACTTAGAAAGTGGCCACCCCTATTATACATCAGGACAACTTGGTCCCTCGTAACTGCACCACACTCAGAAAGTGGCCACCCTATTATACATCAGGACAAATTGGTCCTCGTAACTGCACCACACTCAGAAGTGGCCACCCCTATTATACATCAGAACAACTTGGTCCCATGTAACTGCACCACACTCAGAAAGTGGCCACCCTATTATACATGAGGACAACTTGGTCCCATGTAACTGCACCACACTCAGAAGTGGCCACCCTATTATACATCAGAACAACTTGGTCCCATGTAACTGCACCACACTGAGAAAGTGGCCACCCCTATTATACATCAGGACAAATTGGTCCTAAGTAACTGCACCACACTCAGAAAGTGGCCACCCCTATTATACATCAGAACAACTTGGTCCCATGTAACTGCACCACACTGAGAAAGTGGCCACCCCTATTATACATCAGGACAAATTGGTCCCTCGTAACTGCACCACACTCAGAAAGTGGCCACCCCTATTATACATCAGAACAACTTGGTCCCATGTAACTGCACCACACTCAGAAAGTGGCCACCCCTATTATACATCAGGACAAATTGGTCCCTCGTAACTGCACCACACTCAGAAAGTGGCCACCCCTATTATACATCAGAACAACTTGGTCCCATGTAACTGCACCACACTCAGAAAGTGGCCACCCCTATTATACATCAGGACAAATTGGTCCCTCGTAACTGCACCACACTCAGAAAGTGGCCACCCCTATTATACATCAGAACAACTTGGTCCCATGTAACTGCACCACACTGAGAAAGTGGCCACCCCTATTATACATCAGGACAACTTGGTCCCATGTAACTGCACCACACTCAGAAAGTGGCCACCCCCATTATACATCAGAACAACTTGGTCCCATGTAACTGCTCCACACTCAGAAAGTGGCCACCCCTATTATACATCAGGACAAATTGGTCCCTCGTAACTGCACCACACTCAGAAAGTGGCCACCCCTATTATACATCAGGACAAATTGGTCCCTCGTAACTGCACCACACTCAGAAAGTGGCCACCCCTATTATACATCAGGACAACTTGGTCCCATGTAACTGCACCACACTCAGAAAGTGGCCACCCCTATTATACATCAGGACAACTTGGTCCCATGTAACTGCACCACACTCAGAAAGTGGCCACCCCTATTATACATCAGGACAAATTGGTCCCTCGTAACTGCACCACACTCAGAAAGTGGCCACCCCTATTATACATCAGAACAACTTGGTCCCATGTAACTGCACCACACTCAGAAAGTGGCCACCCCTATTATACATGAGGACAACTTGGTCCCATGTAACTGCACCACACTCAGAAAGTGGCCACCCCTATTATACATCAGGACAAATTGGTCCCTCGTAACTGCACCACACTCAGAAAGTGGCCACCCCTATTATACATCAGAACAACTTGGTCCCATGTAACTGCACCACACTCAGAAAGTGGCCACCCCTATTATACATCAGGACAAATTGGTCCCTCGTAACTGCACCACACTCAGAAAGTGGCCACCCCTATTATACATCAGGACAACTTGGTCCCATGTAACTGCACCACACTCAGAAAGTGGCCACCCCTATTATACATCAGAACAACTTGGTCCCATGTAACTGCACCACACTCAGAAAGTGGCCACCCCTATTATACATCAGGACAAATTGGTCCCTCGTAACTGCACCACACTCAGAAAGTGGCCACCCTATTATACATCAGGACAACTTGGTCCCATGTAACTGCACCACACTCAGAAAGTGGCCACCCCTATTATACATCAGAACAACTTGGTCCCATGTAACTGCACCACACTCAGAAAGTGGCCACCCCTATTATACATCAGAACAACTTGGTCCCATGTAACTGCACCACACTCAGAAAGTGGCCACCCCTATTATACATCAGGACAAATTGGTCCCTCGTAACTGCACCACACTCAGAAAGTGGCCACCCCTATTATACATCAGAACAACTTGGTCCCATGTAACTGCACCACACTCAGAAAGTGGCCACCCCTATTATACATCAGGACAAATTGGTCCCTCGTAACTGCACCACACTCAGAAAGTGGCCACCCCTATTATACATCAGAACAACTTGGTCCCATGTAACACAGGCCCCCACTGCGGGTCAGAAAATCGATAAACTAGGCCCCGGTTTAGTATCAACACCCCCTACTATATAATACATAAAGGTTCATCACGGAAATACGGCGACATGATCGCAAACCGGACAATTACGCACACATCAATCAATATATCCTATTTTAAAGGTCTCACCGGGATCAAAAGCTTTTGTCCATATTTCCTATGTGTGTAGGAGGCATATACACGTGCTCTCCGTGGGGGTGCATTTGTTGGAGGTTTTTTAATTGCCAAAGACCGAGTTGCTGTGCCGGAAGTATACCAAACTAGCTCGACTTCACTACCTCCGGCGATCTGATTGGCTAACACATTACACTGAATGAATGTGTTTCTTTAAAAATATTTGTTTTCGTTTTTAAAATTATTCTTACCAAGATAAAACATCAGAAAGTGACATCTTGGATGATAGGCGTTTGAGTTTCCCTCTCATTTTAGCACGTGCATTTGTTATCATTTTATTAACCAATTTGATTATGCTGCGACCTAGTTTTGTACACTTCCGGCACAGCAACTCGGTCTTTGGCAATTAAAAAACCTCCAACAAATGCACCCCCACGGAGAACACGTGTATATGCCTCCTACACACATAGGAAATATGGACAAAAGCTTTTGATCCCGGTGAGACCTTTAAAATAGGATATATTGATTGATGTGTGCGTAATTGTCCGGTTTTCGATCATGTCGCCGTATTTCCGTGATGAACCTTTATGTATTATATAGTAGGGGGTGTTGATACTAAACCGGGGCCTAGTTTATCGATTTTCTGACCCGCAGTGGGGGCCTGTGCCATGTAACTGCACCACACTCAGAAAGTGGCCACCCCTATTATACATCAGGACAAATTGGTCCCTCGTAACTGCACCACACTCAGAAAGTGGCCACACCTATTATACATCAGAACAACTTGGTCCCATGTAACTGCACCACACTCAGAAAGTGGCCACCCCTATTATACATCAGAACAACTTGGTCCCATGTATCTGCTCCACACTCAGAAAGTGGCCACCCCCATTATACATCAGGACAAATTGGTCCCTTGTAACTGCACCACACTCAGAATCTGGCCACCCCTATTATACATCAGGACAACTTGGTCCCATGTAACTGCACCACACTCAGAAAGTGGCCACCCCTATTATACATCAGAACAACTTGGTCCCATGTAACTGCACCACACTCAGAGAAAGTGGCCACCCCCATTATACATCAGGACAAATTGGTCCCTTGTAACTGCACCACACTCAGAATCTGGCCACCCCTATTATACATCAGGACAACTTGGTCCCATGTAACTGCACCACACTCAGAAAGTGGCCACCCCTATTATACATCAGAACAACTTGGTCCCATGTAACTGCACCACACTCAGAAAGTGGCCACCCCTATTATACATGAGGACAACTTGGTCCCTCGTAACTGCACCACACTCAGAAAGTGGCCACCCCTATTATACATCAGAACAACTTGGTCCCATGTAACTGCACCACACTCAGAAAGTGGCCACCCCTATTATACATCAGAACAACTTGGTCCCATGTAACTGCACCACACTCAGAAAGTGGCCACCCCTATTATACATCAGAACAACTTGGTCCCATGTAACTGCACCACACTCAGAAAGTGGCCACCCCTATTATACATCAGAACAACTTGGTCCCATGTAACTGCACCACACTCAGAAAGTGGCCACCC